TGGCCTTCCTGCTTGTCCATGAGCTGCCAAAAACTATTCCCTCCCCTCACCTCCCCCAGCCAGAAGCTTCTCCCTCCCCTAATATCTCTGGGCTGCAGCTTGTCCCCACATCTCCCTTCCACCACCATACACAGGCTCTCATCATTGCTCATCTGAATCTTCTAGCTAGCCTCCATGCCTGTGCGTTTGTGGGACCCACATCTTCATGTGGTCCATGTTTGAAATGTTCTCTGAGCTCCTCATCCCCACAAGATAAAGTCCAGACCCCCTATTCTGGAACTAGCAGCCCTTCACTGCTCAGTCTCTCCTTGCCTTTCAGCTCAATTCAATTCCATTCTGCAAAGATCCCCTGGTGCCTTTCATACGCTGGGCCAAGCTAGAGATAGGAAATCAAAGGATCTCAGCTCACAGGAGGGACAGAGGAACAAACATGCAATTGGCACAGTGTGATGGGGTCAGGAGAAGCGCAGGAGACCCTGCGATTTCATCAGTTGTGGGGGGCATTCCTGCAGGGAGTTTGTGCAGAGCCTGGGCTATGGGCAAGTCTCCAGCTCCAGGCCCATGGCTCTTTCCACTCCTCAGTGCAGTCTGGCCAAAAAGACACTACCTTGCCCAGGGGAATGGAAACAACAGCAACAACAACAACAACACAAAACAGAAAGAAAGGACACAAGATGATCCATGGTTAAAATACAAATTAAGTATTAAAATAGAAAACCCACAGAAGTTACTATAGGGACACTAAATCACAGGAAAAGGAGATCATCTAAACCCTGCATATTTGAGATGGAAATGTAGGGAGACGGACCACAGTCAAGCAGACAGAGCCCGGAGGAAATTCCATGACTCCTCTACTTTGGTCAAGTGTCACAGAACCAAGATAATGACTTACTTGCAGGTGCGTGGGCATCTCCACCACTTGGGTAGGGGTAAAGTGGGTATCTGTGCCTTTTTATTTTGACAGCTACGACAAACTGGGAGAAAATGCCTTTAAAAATATAATGAATAAAATGAACACGCTAAAGGCTTGAATTTACTTCAAAGAACCGCCAAACTGAATTTGAGAAGACATGAGTGATTTCTAAGAGAATTCCAAAAGGAGATTGAGAAAATGTCCTCTCAGTCGAAAGGCAGAGAACATCAGAGGAAAGGAGATCAGAAGAGATGATGCAGGTGTAGTCTCTGCCCTCAGGGGACAGCAAGGCTTTCAGTCCAAGAGAAGTACTGTTGACGTTGGTGGAACCCCGTTTTTAAACGGCAGGCTTTGCGTCAGTCAAGAAAGCAATTTAGTGAGTCATGACGTCAATTTCTTTTTAAATGAAAGAGAATGGAATCTAATAGAAAGCACCAGGTCACATCTCCTGCAGCAAGAATAAGCACTTGAGCTTGACCTATGACTGTGTGCGCACATGTGTTTATTCATTCATGAGACAACACACCATTTCCTAGGTGAGTTGAGTTGAGAAAGTTTGACACTCTCCTAAAAAACATTTTTAGAAACGGTTCTATTTTTAACATTTATTAAACACAGTTATGACTACATACGCTTTTCCTTATTGTTGTGCTAAAATTAAGCAGACTATTAGAATTGGGAGGAAAAAACAAATTAGCAGAATGTAAATGAGAGATCTGATAACAAGACAGTAGAGACAACTGAATGTGACAGATGAGCTCTGGGCTTTATTCTAAAGCCTCTGGCTTTGTGATAACTAAGGATTCCCTGGCTATTTATTTTTTCCTTGTTGGGGCACAAGATACAATATTGTACCTGCTCAAAAATTACTTCTCAGATGACCCTCTAGAACAGGTAACACTTTTTCGTAACAACAGTCTCCTGTGCTTGTGGAAGCTCCTGGAAGGGAAGCTAATCTCTTGTCCACTGATACTCCCAATTCTATGACAGCCACCTCATAAGTAGTAGATGTTCAATAAATTTTGGTTGTATTGAACTGAAATGCATCAAAAGGCAATAGAGATCTAGTTTTAACAACCACTTGTCACCTGAACCCCCTTTGCATGAACAACTGATTTCAGTAAATTGAGCAAAAGATAGTCTATTTAGGAGGAAGCAACAACAGAACTCTGAACTTAAGTTTCCAGGGAGCAAATAGCTGGGAATCTTACGTGTTTTGGCCCAGAGTTAAAGTTTGGTCAAAGGACTTGTCTCATGTCTTTTATAGAATAAGAACCTCTTGAAATGTTACAGGCTACTTAGGATCTCAAGTTTGGACCTAATTTTTGGACCTACTCTGGCTCCTGGGGACACAGCGAAGATGCTTTTTCTAGTCAGGACAGCTTGAGGGCAACAACTGCCCCGAATGTGAAGCTGCTGAGTGATTCCAGAATTCCTGTTCGATTGCTAACCAGAGCAGGCTAGGTGCGCAGGGAGCCAGAGACAGAGGGCTGGATTTGGAGAAGCAGTCAAGCGACCAAGTAAATCAACAGTGGATCAAGCCCTGGTGGGCTTCCCCACAAGAAGAGAGAAGAGAGAGGAGACCCCACTGGGAAGCCATCACTTGCCTTTGTCAAGCCTTCTTGCACCTATGACTTCTCTCAGGGCTTCACTGCCCAATCCTAACTCCTAACACACAACTGTGTGAGGTGGGTCACTAAGGATGCCCTGTGTATGCGTATGGGAGGGGGATGGTGCTGGTCACAGGTGTAGATGCCTTGGAAAGGCATTTGGTGAGTTACCAATAAGGGGGATGGGTCAGGATGCCTGGGTGGCTCAGTCCTGAGCTGGCTTTCAGCTCAGGTCATGATCCCAGGGTCCTGGGATGGAGTGCTGCATCAGGCTCCTTACACACCGGGGAGCCTGCTTCTCCCTCTGCCTGCTGTTTCCCCTGCTTGTGTGTTCTCTCTCTGATGAGCAAATAAATAAAATCTTAAAAAAAAAAAAAGGGCAGAGATGAGTGAAGGATGCCCTTAACCAAAGGACCAATTCAAATTCAATTCCAATTCCAACTCAAAGAAGAGCTCACTAATCACTAGTTACTTCTTCTTAGCCAGGTGAGTATCTCAATGGTGATTACCAATGGAAAGTCCTCTTTATCAAGGACACCGATGAGAATTAAAGGAAGGGATGAAGGGCCTCTCCCCCTCTCAGTCACTAAAGCAGTAGCTGTCCCCTTCATGTGTGCTAGTCCTACACACAGTCAAATCTCAGTTCTCTGTGGATGAAGACAGCAAGGAGCAGAATAACCCTATCTACAGATTTCAGTGGAGAGCAGGAATCCACATCCTTATTTTAGCAAAGAATAGTTCCACCCTCCACCCCGCACCCAGTCACTATCCCAGGCTCCCTCTGACCATCTGCCAGCTCATGCTGAAGGAATATAAATCATCCTTGGGTTAACCTGAGCAGAATGTAATCAAGAGGGAAAGATGGCTTGGGGCCAGGGAAGCAACAGGAAGGCTGCATATTGTGCACTCCAAAGTCAAGCAGGAACAAAGTTTGGAAAGTATATATATATATATACACATATACATATACATATATATATGTATACACACACACACACACACACACACACACACACACACACAATGTATGCTTAGCTACTTAATTTGAATCTCATTTCTAACTTTCACAAAATGTAACCTCTCCCTCCCTCAGTTTCTTAAGAAATCATATACACAGGGTAAAATATGTCCACAATGTCTAGCAGTATCTGGAAATTTAATGGGCCAGCAAACTACGTAATCTATCCTTAGGACTGTGGTATTGCAAAATGGATCAGAGTGGAGATTTTCCAGGATGCTGGCTCCATGGACCTCATCCTAACCTCTCTGAGCTTTCACTGTCTCATCTGCAAAATGGGATAATAAAATCACTTCATAGGGTTACTGCAAGGGTTAAATGAGCAAATGTACATAAAATGCCTGGCACCGACTAGATGAGCATAAATGTTGGCTAGTACTTGATGGCTGATCCCTTCAGAGAGCTAGAAATGGCCCCAGTGAAGAGCTGCTCTGTAGCTTCCTCAGATGATCAGATGAATCTCTCAAAGGCTGTAGATGCTCAAAAGGCCAAAGCACCAACATGTCCCCCCACGACCCCGCTCCATCCCCCACATCCCTTAGTTCAGTGTGTGGCACACCGGCCTCCTTGTTATCCAAGTGAGAAATCCTGCAGTCCTCAACCACTCCCCCACCCCCCACCCCTGCCCCAGCAAATCCTCTGTTGACTCAACTTCTTAAATGAGTCAACTCCATTTGGTTCTCTCCCTCTGCCCACCACAGTGTCAGTCCGGGGCACCATCCACCTGCCCCTGGATAGCATGTCTCCAACCTCCTCTCCCTGCCCCAGCCACCCCCTTGCAGTCACTCCCAAAGCAGCAACTATAGTTCTCTTATTAAAGTTCAAATCTGACTTACCCTCTCTCCTGCTCTTAACCTCCCACGTGCAGTGGTAAAGTCCAAGTAGTAAAGTAGTAAAGTCCAAGTCCCTCAGCGTGGCTCCCAGAGCCTGCCATGATCTGCCTAGGACGTAGCTCCCACCCATGGTCCTTCTTGCTTTGTTGCTCCAGCCGTGCCAAAGGGACACACTGCAGTTCTACAAATACATCCTGCTCTCTCTGCAGGATTTTGCATGTGCTTTCCCCCTGCTGAGGACACCCCCTTGCCCTTCACTTCTCCAGTCTGTAGGTTTTAGCTTACATATCGTTTCTTCCAGGAAGCCTTCCAGACACTTGAATACTGAGTTAGATCCTTCTTCCGCAGTGAACAAGTGTCTGCTTATTTGCTCCTCTCCCCCAGTAGCCTGGGAGCCCCTAGAGGACAAAACCCATTTTTGTCATTGAAATACCCCAAGTGCCTAAGACGGTGACTGGCACAATGCAGGCACTCAAATATCGGTGTGTCGAATAGAGGCGAGCAGTTGGCCTTGCCCCGAGGTGCCCACTCTCCCTGGCTGAAGGCTGCAGTGGCACTGAGCTGCCCAGTAACTTGGCCAACCCTGGTCCCCAGAGGTGTATGTCCAGCAAAATTAACACACCTACCTAGGATAGCCACCACCTCGTCATCCTGGATCACCTCCAGAGAGCCGGAGACCACAAAGCAGAGGCTGTCAACACTCTCTCCTGCGTGGTAGATGAGGTCCCCCGGGGCGCAGTGCACTGTCTGGAACTCCATGGCCAGTGCCCGCAGGCAGCCATCGCTGGCCAGCCGGAAAGCTGGGTGTTCCTTGAACACCTTGCGGTTCAGGTGCACACAGATGTCAGCTCTCATGTCCTTGGGACAGATCTGCAGAACCTGGGCAGGCACAGGGAGAAAAAGTGTCAGGGTCCTCACTGTGCTCTCCAGCCTGTGGCCCCTCATGACCCCAGGAGCAGAAGCCACCCCCACTGGGCTAGACTGCACTCTTCAAGGCACAGGTAGACAGCACAGCCACAGTACCTGTCCCCATGGAGCTTACACTCTCATGAGAAAGATAAGCAGCAAGCATAGAAATCCATGCTAAATGCTCAGAACAAGGATCAGAGAGTCAGGGCTGGGAGTATGGGGAGCTCTTTAGATTAATAGCTGGTGAAGGCTTGTCTGAGGAGATGACATGTAAGCGGACACCTGCAAAATGTGTCAGAAGACATCCCAGCAGCAAGGAAGATGGTGAGGGGACCTAAGCAACAGCCAGCATGAAAGAGGGGCTCAGGGTAGGGGATGAAGCTTTGGGAGAATGCCCAGTACGCACGCACCTAAAGACCTGACATTATGAAAAGCCTCTGACTTTATTCTGAGTGTGATGGGGACACTGGAAGAGTGTGAGGAGGGAGTGACAAGACCAGGCTGTATTTTAAGAGGATCACCATAGCTAGAGAGTGGAGTTCCGGGGCCCGGACTTCGGGGTTGCAAGGATGGAGCCAAGGATTTGAGTTAAGTCACTCCTGCAGGAGGCCCCGTGAGAAGTGAGGGGGCCCAAACTGGGATGCTGGCAGGGAAGCCAGGGAGGAGTGGTCAGATTCAGGACGTATTCTGAAGGTTGGGCTCACACTGCTGATGGTCTGAGTATGTGTGTGGCTTAAAGAGAGATAAAGTAATATTTTGTGAGCATTTACTCTGTGCCAGGCTTTGCTAAGTGCTTTAAAGTCATTCATTCATTTCATATTTATTTATTGAGAACTCATGATATACCAGGAATCATTCTCAGCTCTGAAGATGTAGCTGTGAACAACACAGACAAAACCCTTGCCTTTTTATAACTTACCATCTCATGGGAGGAGACAAATCCTAAGCAAAATGAGTGAAATTAAGCAATGATTTTACATGATTGTTATGTGCATTTAATAGCTAATTTAATCCTCACATAACCCTCTGATATAAGTGTTAGTATGGTACCATCTTACAGAGAAGGAAACTGAGGCACAGGGAAGATAAATAACTTCCCCAAAGTTGCACAGCCAGAAAATGGCAGAGCTGGGCTCCCAAACGAAGTTGTCTGAGTCCAGAGCCTAGTTTAGATACTAACCATTTCCTACGTTACATGGCTACCCTAAACAAAGGCACTAGTAATTCCACTCTTAGTATCTAGAAACTCAGGGCAAAGTGAGAACTCTAAAGGGTCACGTGTGTCTTTCGAGAAAGGAAAATTTCTCAGCCTTTTCTAGGGGGAGAAATAGTTCCCTGAACTAAATTTTTACAAGAAACCACTGCATGGCCCCTCCCATAGCAAGCATTAGGTAACACAGTAGGATGCCTTCAAGTGGACTTTTCCAGAGAAATTAGGTGTGTCCTTTCAATAACCCTTTCTTCCATTCTAGTCTAGTGAGCAAAGCTGGGGGCATAAAATCAAACAAGTTCAATGAAGACACTTAGGATGCTGGTTACCCCCACACTCCTGCTTCTGTGCCTTCACATAGGGCATTTGCCTCTGCACCTGGAGCTCACCTTGGAATCTGTAAGTTTCTCCGCCTCCTTCAAAAGTCTGTGCAAGTCTCACCTTGCCCGTGACTGCGCTGCTCCTACCCTACCTTCTCAGGAGCCCTTGCACTCTGCATGGAGGCGAGGCAGTGGACAGAGAGGTCCAACAGTCCAAATGCCAGCTCCTTCCCCCCAAGTGGCCTAACTGCTCTACACTTGACCTTCTCTTATAAAGTGCACACTGCTCACATTGGCTCAGGAGGATTAACTGAAAGGACAAGTACCAGTATGGTTCCTCCAGGACAGTGTAGGACCCAGGAAGGGGCTCCATACACACTGGTCCCCATGCTCCATGTGCCTCTTCCTGCTTGTTCTGGGGTTGCAGGATGCTGAGGAAGTGAGCAGGATCTCTGCGAGAGGGGAAGGAGCACTGACAGAGCAGAGGGACAGGAAAATTCAGACTGCCAAGGCCAGCTGGGGCTGAGAGCTTACTAAGTGTTTCCCTCCTTCCAGCTCATTGAAAAACAAGACTCCTATAGAAATGCAGATTTAGGGGCGCCTGGGTGGCTCAGTGGGTTAAAGCCTCTGCCTTAGGCTCAGGTCATGATCCCAGGGTCCTGGGATCAAGCCCCACATCAGGCCCTCTGCTCCGCAGGGAGCCTGCTTCCTCCTCTCTCTCTGCCTGCCTCTCTGCCTACTTGTGATCTCTGTCAAATAAATAAATAAAATCTTAAGAAAAAAAAAAAAAAAAAAAAAAAAAAAAAAAAAAAAAAGAAAGAAATGCAGATTTAATTTGGATCCTCTTCTTCCCAGGCAGAACACCAGGGGGAGAACTCTCACATGTCCTGTCAAAACTGTGCCCAGCCGTTCAAAACCAACATTTACTCTCCAGGTAAATTCACCTTTCAGTATTTGGTTTCCCCTGGGCTGGGCTTTGCTGGCAGAGGCTGCTAATGAACGAGGCCTTGGCACAGAAACAATGTTTTATTCATGGGCCCTATTCCTGGATCCACTGGAAAGCACTTGTGAGGAGGAGAGGGAAGCTGGGGGTTGAACATCACGGACTGCCATGCCATAAGGCATCTCCATCATTCTCCTGTTGGCTCCACACTGAATGGGTTAGGGGGTCCTGAACCCTTCTCTCTGAGCTGAATGCTTCTCAGCTGCAGACCCCTTCCTGGGCACCTTCCCTTCTGTTTGGTCCTTAAGAGAAACCATCCCTCCTGGTTCTTGAGGACCTCAAAGGCCACAGGGAAATGTCACCATGGAGGCTCATGGAACCACCCCAGGCCGGACAGGACAGACACATGGTTGAGAGAATAGACTTTAAGATCAGGCAGACCCAGATTCAATTCCTGGCTTTAAGGTTTACTGATCCTGTGAACCTGAAGCCATACTTAGCTTCTTTAACCAACTCTTCTGTTTTGAACATGAGTACAGAATTCTGAGGATTCTCTGAGCTGGTGTGTGGTAAGTGCTGGTGCAGTGCCTTCCACACACACGGGCTCAGTGCATGTGAGCTTTAATTTCTGAGGTCCTTAGCACAGAGGAGCAGTGAGTCAGGCTGAGGGAGGTCCAGAACGCCATAGATAAATGGGCCTTAGGGGTTGACCTTAGCACTAAAAGGCATCTATTGTCCATGTGTTATAGACATGGAAACTGAGGCTCAGAGAACAGGTGACATGCTCATGGTCACTGGCTAATTGCTGCTGGTCAAACGAGAGGAGCCCAGCACCCCCCATCCTCCCCACCATACCCCTAGGCTTCCGTGGTCTTCCCTGACCCCTCTGACCCAGAACCAGGGAGAGCCAGGGGACCACGGGACTGGATCCCTCCACAGAAGCTGCCTGTCCCAAGCCCCTGCTGGGAAGAGAAGCCGCCCAGGCCGGCTGGGCCCTGCAGTGAGCTGTCACAGTACTCCCTCTTCCAGCTAGGCCAGGACCTGGGGCAAATCCCAAAGCCTCTCAGGAAAGTGAGTCAGTGGAGAGGGGCAGGACAGGCAAACGCTGACGGTGCTATCTCCCACGGGCAGCCACCCAGCCCAGCCCTGCCCTGGGATGGGGAAGGGTTTCTTTCCAGACAACCAGATTTACAAAGCCCTCCTGGTCCCTGGGAAATGGAGCCCCAGGGCCGACAGATCAAAGTTCCTTTCTGCTCCATCAGCTGCCAGGCACCCACAGAACCTACATGCCTTGCTGAATGAAGCAAAAACACCAGACTCAGTAAGGGCAGGTGGTTGGCAAAGCCAGGGACTCAGACCCACCCGACTGACGCCCTGCCTGGGTCAGAAACGAGGGCAACTCCATCTGGACTCATCTGCTCATCCTTCTTCCCTCCAGTACATGTTTTAATTTAAAAAAATAAATTAAAATAAATTAAAAAGTAACAGTAGGAAAAGCACAAGCTTCCAAGTCAAACAAAACCAGATTCAAATCCTGACTATGCCACTCTTAATTCTATGACCAGAGGCAGTTAACAAAACTAACCAGGCCTCTGGGTCCTTGTCTCTGGGGTCAAAATAACAGCAGCTCCCTCCCAGAGCTGCCATAGAGCGTCACTGAAGCGTGAGCGCGGGGCCCGCAGGAAGAGAGCGCGGTAAATACTTGTTTTTAACGAGTGTTCAAGGCAAGGTAGCCAGTGCTACGGTGGTGAGCTTATTATGTTACCGTTGTGGCCATGGCTGATCTTCAACAAACCTGAATTATCCTTCCTTTTACGTGGGAATCAATTAAATTGAGTTCAGGTTTTCCTTTTAAACTTCCACTCTCAGCTAACCCTTCTGACGGAGGAAGAGGAGCAAGGATAGCTGCTCCAAAGTCAGAGGCATTTGGCTTTGAATGTGTTAGGTTTCTGCAACAGCGTTATCTTTCTGTTTTTCTTACTCTGACAGCGAAAGGAATCAGAATTCCCCAAGTACCTAGAGACTGGCAGTAAAAGGAGAAGTAGGGTGGAAAACACTGAGAAGCAGAGAAAAACGGACCCAGGATGACATGCTGCTCATAGAAAATGAACACAGGAGATAACTGTGAAGTGAATAGAAAGTCCGCTGCATCTTTTCTCTGTTCTTCCCAGCCACAAAGTTTCTCCACTTTATTGAAATGCGTCTAGAATAACGCAACTCTTAGAGAACAATAGGGATTTATGGCTGTTTCCATTTCACAGATGGGAAAACTGATACCTTAGCCTTAGAGGTCTAACTGAGGTTTTCCTCAAGCCAGTGAGACTAAGGCACAAACCCTTGATAAGTATTCACCAGACTTGTCTGATGAAGAGGGTCCCCTGGGCAATTGTTAAAAATGAAGATTTTTTTCCTCACACCTCCCCCTCCTCTAAATCCGGAATTCCATACATTTGGTATAGAGGCTGGGAATCTGTTTAATGACTGCGAATTCTGAGAATCTTATCAGAGCTGAGACTACAGTGAGGCAACAGCCTTGGGCTAAAATCTCAGTAATCAACATAAATTACAATTTAATACAGTATTTTACAAAATCAAAATCCACGCAAAAAAAAAAAAAAATCCCCGATGGACAAAATACCAAAAATTTAAATAAGGACAGAATCAGTGGCAGGGCTTGGCCATCTCAGAGCCTGAGGTCAAAGGAAAATTAGTCACGATGATGACCTCCCCGGGGATGGCCCTGAGCCTTACCATCACACAAGTTTGGGAAATTCTGCCCTGGACAGTTAGACTTCCAACAAGTTCTCCAGGATACACACTGTCTTTCCAGTTTCTTAAATAATGGCTCTTAATCTCTTAATTGCTGGTCCTTGAGGAAAGCCGATCTGGAAGCCAGCAAAACTTTTGGGGGTAGGACTTGGGAACCCAACTACCCAAACCTCAGCCAGGTTTGAGAACCCCCGGCCCCAGGTGCACCTCTATTCTCCCTGGGAAAGCTGACACACAGGGCTCACCTGAGCTTATCGCCCTCCTTACCTTCTCTGTGTCGATGCCTCTGGACATGGACCAGGTGGAAACAATATAATCCATGACTCGCTCACTCAAGCCCTTTGGCACCTGGTAGAGCTTCAGGAAGTCCCGAACGCTATTGAGCATCTCATGGTACCGGTTGGTATTGGCGTACATCTGTTGGAAAATGGTCGTCACGTTCCCGAAGATAGTGGCATACAGAAGAGCTGAGGAGAAGAGACAACACGTGAGTGGGCCTTCAACCAGGGCCCAAGAATGCCCAACTGGCCAAGAGCAGGCCAACGGCCAGAGCTGCCCTCTCCAGGACAGACTGTCCTGACCTTTTCAGAAGAACCTCACGCAGCAGCCTCTGGGAGTGGACCCACCAAAAGAGTTGCCTGACAGCAGGCCAGTAGGACCAACAGGTGGTAGGCAGGGCTAGGATGGACAGGACCTGGCATGACTGCGGCCAGAGCTAAGAGGCAGAGAAAAGGGAGCGGGATAGGAGCAGTGAGACCAATTTATACTTCTTGACACAAAAAGTTTCAGCCGTGCCTGAGGCCACCAGTCAAATGTGTTATTCTATATCAGCCCAATTCCTAACCTATCAGCAGGTAAACTTCTTCAAGAACTGCTAACGTGCTAAGTACTATGCTACCTGCTGAGGACAGGATGGTGTGAGAACGCTCAGTCCTGGCTCTCACACAGCAAAAAATATAGTGCAAAGACAGAACTTGAATACAACATCACAAGTAACTAAATAATAGCAAATCGGCCAAGAGCAATGAAGGATGTTATTTATACCTTGGCTTCACACTTACTGTTAAGGTACAGGTAAAGACAACAATCTATTCCACTGTGATGTGGCTCCTGGGGAGAAGAGCATGACTGTAATATGGCAAAAATAAAGTCGGGTCACCTCTGAGATATGACAAGTACCTACTATGTGCTCCCCTGGCTCCTCCTACGTTAGTGTCAGGAAGGAGGACCATTATGGCATCACAAAGCCCACCTTCTACCTTTAACTCCCATTTGCTCTTGAAGGCTGAGCTCAAGGGTTTCACCACTTCCAGAAAGCCTTCCTTTGAAGTTGACCATGACTTCCCAGGCTTGAAATGGTACATAAGCCATTTTGCAACCATATGTGTCTTTCTTTGCCTGTGCCTATATGAGTTGCTTGAAGGCTAGACCCATCTTTTCCTTGTCATTGTATCCCTGGGAGCTAACACTAAACCAGTACCCAATAAATATTTGTCAAATTAGTTTTTAATAAATAATATATATATTATTTGTAACAGTCACACATTTTTGCTCTTTTTTAAAAATTGAGTGATTACTGACATATGATAAACCGCACCCTTAAAATATACAATCTGATAAGCTTTGAAATATGTATACACCCACAAAACCATCACACAGTCTGACTGAACACTTTCATCACTTTCCAAAAAGTTTTGTCATATCCCTTTATACCCCTTCCTGTTCCCAAGCGATTGCTAATATTTTCTGTCACCATAGGTTAGCTCTCATTTTCAAGAAAGTTCTATAAATGTAATCATACAGTATGTACTCTTTTTAAATGTTTTAATTAGATATAATTCATATACTATGAAATATATCCATTTAAAGTGTACAACTCAGTGGCTTTTATTGTATTTACAAAGCTGGGTGACCATCACTATGTCTAAGTTTAGAATATTTCCATCCTCCTCCCAAAGAAACCCCCTATCCATGAGCATCATTCCCCACCCCACCCCCATCCCCTAGCCCTCGGCAAACAGTAATCTACTTTCTCTCTATATATGTTTGCCTACTCTGGACCTCTCATATCAATTAAGTCCTACAATATACGAACTCCTATGGCTGGCCCCTTTCAAGGTTCCTCCATTTTGCAGCATAATTTGGCACTTCATTCCTTTTCAATATTGAATAAATGATGTTTGACATATTGACAATCCACATTTCATTTATCCAATCATCAGTCCATGGGCATTTGGGTGATTTACTTCTTGGCTATTATGAATCGTGCTGTTATGAACTGTCAGGAACAAGTTTTTGCGTGAACATGTTTTCCGTTCTCTTGGGTAAACACCTACGAGTGGAACTGCTGGGTCATCTGGTAACGATGTTTAACATTTTGAGGAACTGTTTTCCAAAGCAGCTGCACCTTGTTCTGTTCCCATCAGCAGTGTATGAGAGTTCCAGATGTCCTCAACACCCCTTCAACACTGTTATTATCTGTCTTTTGGATTACTGCCATCCTAGGGAGTAAGATCTGTTATCTCATCCCAGTTTGGGTGTGCATTTCCCTGATGGCTGGTGATGTTGAACATCTTTTTGTGTGCTTATTGGTCATTTTTATCTATTCTTTGGAAAAATGTCCACCTAAATCTTGCCTATTTCTCAGTTGAGTTGTTTGTCATTTTATTATTGAGTTGTAAGCATTCTTTATATATTCTGGATAAAAATCCTTTATCCAATAGCTATGATTTGCAAATACTTTCTCACACCATATGGGTTGTCTTTTCACTTTTCGTCTTTTCACTTACTTGATGGTATTGTTTGCACATAAACATTTTTAGTTTTGAGGTAGTACAATTCATTTATACTTTTGCACTTTTTTGACTAGTTTCTTATACTCAGCATAATTATTTTCAGATTTATCCATATTGTTGCCTTATGAATAGTTCATCCCTTTTTAAAAAACATTATTTTGAAATAATTATAAATTCCCAGAAAGGTGTAAAGATACTACAAAGAGATCCTGTATACCCATCACCCAGTTTCCCCAATGGTTCCATCTTGTAGAAGTGTTGTAGAGCGCAATGTCAAAACGAGAAGATTTATGCTGTCATGAAGTATGTGTATGACTCTGTCATTTTATCACCTGGATAGGTTCATGTAAGCAGTTCACCATTTAGAAGACAAAACTGTCCCATCACTGCAGAAATCTCTCTTGTGCTCCCCCTTTATACTCATGCTCCCCCAGGGAACCACAAATCTTTTCTCTTTTTTTTTTTTATAATTATGCCATCTCAAAAACATGATATAAATGGAATCATGCAGTATGTGAACATCTGAGATTGGCCTTTTACACTTAGCAAAATGCCCTGGAAATGCATCCATGTTGGTGCATGTGTCAATGGTTCATTCCATTTTGTTCATGAATACTGTCCCACTGTATGGAGAGGCCACAACGATTTCTTTCAAATGATCTTAGGCTTAGCTGAAGACTGAGAGGGGAAAAAATCAGAGAAAAAGGCTTGGATCTAGATGTAAAGGAACGAAGTCTTCAGTAGTCTATCCACTCAGGCTGAATACGGCTGCCCAAGACACTGAGGACAAAATTCTACCCAAGAAGAATTATAAATGAGGACTGGAAGGAGGGCTGCCAGTTCTAGAAAGGTACCAGGGAGTGCTTATCAATCTGAACAAAGGCAGCCAGAGAAAAGCAAAAGTAGTCAAAGCCTGAATAATGCAGACACGGCTCTTGGAAGCTCATAAATTAACTTATACCCAAGAGGGTCAAATCTCCAGCTTCCTGCCTCCTGTATCAGCAAATGTTCCCAGAACCCGCCTCCCAGGGCCCCCCGACTGGCTCCCTTGCTCCCAGTGAGTCTGACTCTAACTCAATAAGCCTCTATGGCAGTTGTGGCTCGGCTCTGTTTTCTAGTCCACAATGAACCAGAGGTCATGCATGAATAGTAAGAGGTGGCTTTCTCAGGAGGGCTGCCAGAAAACTAATTTAATTTTGAGCTTAAAAATATAGTTATACCAAATCGATACAGTAAGAATAGCTCTCTTGTCCATGTCTTGAGAACTAGGCTCACATCTGAGGCACTGGGGTGCTGGTCAGACCATTAAGGCAATGATGACACATCTGTCATTTGCAGCCCAGGGCTGCTCTCATGCCGGTCTGCTTCTGAGACATTCTAGAAGGTTAAAGGTCCTCAGGAAGGACCTATTTAATTATTATCACTATTAGAAACATTATTACTATTAAAAATGGATAATTTGCTCAATGCCCATTGTCTAATTTTACATGAAGTGAGGTTATACATTTTTCATACGTACATTTTATTTATTGATATCTCTAGATAAACCACTATGCCTTACGTACTCACAACCTAACTGGGAGAGATTGCATATAAGTCTAGCTATCGCTTGAACTTGAGTGTGATGTGGGGAGGAAGACCGGGAGACTGGAATGTCCCTGCACAACAGAGCCTCACAGGGCAGATGAGGCCCTGGATGACTCTAAATGTGAATTAGTTGGGTCCCCCCACTATCCCCCACAGTAGAAAGGCCCTTTCTCAATCCCAAGGCAAAATGCTGATTTGCCTAAGGGCAGGTTTTTTTCTCTCTTTGAGCAGTTTAAAGTTAACACTGTATCAGCAAGAACTCTGGGTCCCACCCAAAGAAAAATAAACATTAATTTCTCTGGCCCAAAATTAAAAGTTGCTGTATGGAATTGAGAGGAAGAGTGGCAAAAGGTTTTGTTTCCCTTTTTAAATTTTCATGTTTATTTGTGCATATGTACACATACACATCATTTAAAAAGTGGCCAAAACCTCTTTTGAAGTCTTTACTCCCCTAGATATTCTTTCTTTTCACCCAATTTCCCATTCTGCAGAAGCACCCATTTTCCATTGTATTAAGCTGATTGTTTTGCTATTGATCTTCATAGTTCAATGTCATTCTCAAGTCTCCATGTCCTGATATTTCAGGCTTAGAAATTATCTGCTGGCCTGAGAATTTGCTCTCTTCTGAGAATTTCACTCTCTTCTCCCCACTGCCCTCCAATCTCACACTCATTTCCCACAGCTCTTCCCATGGCCCCATCCTCTAGTGTGGTTATAGCATCAATTCAGTTAGATAATTATCTGTGCGGATATTACTGTAACTGGATGAGACATATTCACAGCTAAGCCACACAGGATACTCAGGTCACTTTTCCTTTTCTACAGTGTTTCCTTTTCCCTACAGCTAATAATGGTCTTTTCATTTGTTTAGTTTACGTATCACTGATTTGACTCCAATTCTCCCACAGACAAAAGTTCCTCCTAATATATTAAAATACCTTAGTTAGCCTATCAATGTCATTTCCATAAAGAAATCTTTCCTGGGGGCACCTGAGTGGCTCAGTCGGTTAAGCATCTGACTCTTGATGTCAGCTCAGGTCTTGATCTCAGGGTTGTGAGTTCAAGCCCCACATTGGGCTCCATGC